AAAAAAAAAAAAAAAAAAAAACTAAGGATATATTAATAATAGATGAATTTCAATGTATTCATGGCTTGCCATATATATATGCGATAAATAAAAGTAAAGGAGCATAATCTATAGCACAAGTTACACTCACACCCTACACTAATCTAGTTAATGCATCTAAAGGATTTGGATACTGATATATACACCCTCCAAAAATTACACATTTCGTTACACACTGACGATTTTTGTAAGTGTGCTTTTAAAATTGATAGAAACTATTAGTTTTAATGGAAGAAATAATGAAAATCATCAGTTTTAACAACATAAATAACGAAAACCGTTAATTTTAACGACACACTAACGGAAACCATCATTATATAACGAGTGTGTAACTTTATAAAGTGTATGTATCATTTCCCAAAGGACTAACAATCAAATGCTTATATGAATATCATAGGTAGATTTGAGCTTGAGATATCATAATTAAATCTCTTTTCAGCATAATCTAATTGGATATAAAACACTTGAATGTAACTATAGGGGTAACAATAAGACTACAAGGTGTAGAAAGATTACTTTTTAAGTTTCTTCAATCACTTGGTAATCTCATTTGTTGTCACAGCTTTGAAAAAAGCAAATGGTTGACAATACTACAATTCCCTTCCACTATTCTATTTTGCAAATATTACTATTCCACTAACCAAGAGGCCAATCTCCAAAAATTAATACCTTTTTTTTTTTCTTCTTTTGTATGACCAAATGATATCCTTGGATAGGGCGCATTTCAGTAGAATTCAGGAAGCAAAATCCTTAAAAATCATCCATCTTTGGTCTCTAATCCCGCCGGAATTTAGACTATTGGTTTCCATAGTAATACCGCAGCCTTCCATCTCATATATTCCAGTTCAAGAGCAAAGAGCGAATCCAATCAAAGTTCCACCAAATCTACCAAAGTAGACCTGTTGCCCTGCTCCTTTGCACTGCACCCACTGAAACAGTGGGCAGCCAAGCACGCCAAGCACACAAAAACACAACAAATTTCCAAGAAACCAATATGTTGCCGCCGCCCTCGATTTTTTTTTTTTTTTTTTTTTTCATTATCTTATTTTGATTTTTATATGTTGTTTGTCTTTATGTTTTTATATAGTAAATAAAAAATAATTAAAAAAAATTTATACATAGTTCTTATTAAGTAGATTTATTTAAATTAAAAAATTTTCAATTACAATTTATTTACTATATAAATTTATCAAGTTAATTTACATAAAAATAATAAACTAAAATAATTGAAAGGACCAAAAAGACTAGCTTTCCCCTTGAAACCCAAAAAATTAAACAAATAAAAATTGAAAAAATAGGCAATCTACTATTCAATTTTTTTCTTTTTCTGTGCCAAACTGAAAAAATAGGAGCGCTAATTATTGCGCAGAGGAATAGAAAAATGGGGATGGCAGCATCCACGTCCAAACAAAATGTAGAAAAGACTGAACTTGAGACACATTCATGTGGTTTGCTCAGGCTCTGGACTCCATAAATCATGTGCTTTCCATGCTTTTATCATTCCAAACAATGGCTTCCTTCCATGCTCGCAAGAGTCTCTGTACATTAACCAATTGGCATTTATCTAATCGAGTTCCATATTTTGTAGAGCAAACTACAAAATATGAACATTAGTTGTATGATAGCCTATAATATAGTATTAGAGGACTCTTTTGAAATAACCTCTAATATTAGAATGTTTGCTTCTCTCAAATTATTTAAATTGTACCAAACAATTTGGTACAATTTAAATTGCATAATTTTTTTTAATCAAATTTCACTCAACACAACATCAAGTTTTTTGGTTTACCAATTCCACCTAGAGGCGACAAATGGTCAAGTTTGAGTTGGGTTTACTCAGTCACAAATTTTACAAATTGAGTCATATACAGATTATGAGTCAATAAGTATTGATCCTAACCTGATTCTAACGAATCAAAAGTTGACCCATTTCTTGAATCTTTTTTGTTCCTTTATATAATTAATCATGTTTTTAGTACTAACTTTGAATCAAAAATTATAAAATGAGTATATTTTTAAATCTCAATTATCATATTTGCCTCCAAAAAAATTATCATTATTTGGAGCACATTGACCCTCCAACATTTACATATATAAATCCATAATTAATATTATACAATTTACAATAAGTTATTTTTTAAACAAATATAAGTAGCCATCAAAAATTAAGAATTAGCATCAGTCATGAAAGCAAAATGATGCCCCTTAAAACTTATCTTTTAACTAAACAAGTGACCTTACTTGAATTATCTTAAATATTTTGTTATTATCCCACTGATAATTTTTGAAACTATCTTCATTTTTGTTTAGTCAAACTGTTTAAATCACAACTAAAAAACTAAGAGTAATGACTTTTCAAAACTTCCCATCTAGATAACTAGAAGGCAAATATAAATTATACACTGATTGTTTGTATAGGGAAGCCAACAGTGGAAGACAACGTGTGATTATTTTCTAATTATTTTGCTTCTCTCTATTTGATTGATTAATTTCAGCAAAATGACTTGTTTTTTGTGTGGAATGATTCATTTTATTTTTTTTACAAATAATCATATATAATATACAGTATTTGATTTATAAATTTTAAATAAATATAATCAATCACATTTAAAATGTTTTATAAATTATAATAATTACCATCATATTAGATTTCTTTTAAATTTTATTAGTAAGTTATTTTGTTTTAAAAAATTACCTTGTAAGCAAGGATGGAGGATAAGAAATCTAAGGGGGCCATGCCTTAGCTCTTGAAAAAAATTTAATATATGTCTTGAAGTCTTAGTTATTTATAAAATTATTAAAATATTTATATGAAAAAAACAATAATTTTAGCCATGCTCTCGTTCGTTTTTGCATTTTTCTCTAAGTTTTTGGTAATTTTAAGATTATTTTCCTTTTGTATAATATACAATAATACAAGTTGAAAGTTTACAGTTTACAAAAATCACCTTACAAATTCTCTATTTCATAATTTTAATTTTTGGGTTTTGAACTGGGGTTAGTCACTCTATTTCGTAATTTTAAGGTTACTCTATTTTTGTATAATTATAATATTATAAGTTTAAAATTAAAAATTTACATAAATCATGTTATGAGCTAAACACATATTAACTTATGTGTTGAAAGTTCAAAGTTTTTTTTTTTCAAAGAATGGTCAGTTCTTTTCTTTATTTACTTCAAAAAAAAAAATCCCAAAAAGAGTAAATAGATTTAGAATAGATGCCCAAGGCAACAAGCCAATCAATTGTAAATTCAAATTTTGAGCAAAATGACAACAAAATCTTTCCAAAATTTATAATTCACATGCCAAATTCTAGAAGATGATAGGAAAAAATCAGAAATGGAATTGAAGAAAGGAAAAGGAGAAATGTTATAAGGGTAAACCTTATTTTCTTTTATTAATTAAAGTAGTTAAAGGTTCAATTACATAGAATATATATGTATGGTATAGTTTACATTATTTTAAATTTGAATATCTGTTAAGTACAATAATTATTTTACTTTTGTTTTAACTTACAATAAAGTTTGATAGATAATAATTACTGAGTGAAATTATGTTAAGTATATTTTATAGTTGTATTTGCAGGTTATCAAAAAAGATTTTTTGGCCCCCAAACATTTTGCTCAAGCCCTGCTTATAAATGTACCATTAAAAAAATTTTAGAAACAAGTAGGTCAAACAGTCAATCCATAAACTTGTAAGTTGACTCATGAGGTAGGGTTGAGCATTTTAAGATACAAGTCAAATATGAGTTATATTTGATACTTGACTTGAAGATTTTTTTATACAACTTTTTAGATTTAGCATTTATCCAAATACTTAAAGATTTATACTTGATACTTAACTCAATAAGTACTAGGTAATTTGCAAGTATATAGTCATATACTTGTTGAATGATATTTTACTTTAAATTTTTTTTACAAATTAAAATTGAATAAAATATTATTTGCTTTTAATCTGCATTTGAAAAATAGCAAAAATTTAATAAAATATTATTTATTACAATCTAAACTTAAATATAATCTAAAATAATAATAGAGAATTAAAATTTAGTTTCATATTCAGAACTCAAACCTACATATTATTAAAAAACTAAATTCAGTTAAATAATTAATAATAAAGAACAAAAAATATGCATCTAAAAAATAATGAATGAAAATAAATTAAATAACAAAATGAAAATACTTCAAAGAAGATTTCTACGTTTTTGGGCTTATAATCTCTCAAATCCTTTACTTTGATTTGTTAGAAAATATAATGACAAGTGGTATTGTATTTATTTTAATATTCTGCTATTCATGCTTTTGATTTACGATTTTTATCATATTAAGTTTAGAGTTTGAAATTAAAAGATTATCTATACAATAAATAAAGACTATTATTCAAAAATCACT